GAGCTTTACTATACATCCCAGCGGTGAAGTGGGCGTGAGGTGGGCACAGGTGGGGTCATCACTATGCAATCAATACAGACGTCATTCATTGCCATTTGTAATCATTGACGGAAACACACGAGTTTACCGAAGTTATAACACTTTTTAATAACAAAATACCAGATTTTACCGCTCATTATCTCAGCGTATGGGCATCGTAGGGACATGCGGTTTGTTTATATGAACAAGGTAGGACAGCTGATCAATAATAATGGCAAAGAATCATCAAATAACACAGGAAAAGTTATTTTAATTCAGACTAATACTGCAACATGGTTTCAGCATTTTACCGTTGCACGCTCTCCTTCTTTATATGCTTTGATTATGTACCAAGCAAACAAACATTCAACATAAAAGGTGATCTCCACACAAAGCAACCCGCAGCATAGTAGACACCATGCTGAATTGTAAAAAGACCCCCTCAAAAAAAATTTAACACTACTACTTCAAACTTTTCAGCCTGGGTGCGGTGAGAGTAAACAAATATTTTTTTTTAATTGTGGCCTGGCACATTTATTTTAGTATTTCCCTCTATCAGTCTATATTATAGGTTTCGACCCTTTAGATATAGGTTTGACTGAACAACACAAATTTAATTGTGTTAATTGTTTCTCATCAAGGGTAAGGCTGACCGCTACCAAATAAGTCCCAGCTTTGTCTGTCTGTCAGTCGATCCATCCAAGTAGAATATATACTACATCACTACTACTATATGGTACCTGATTAGTTGTCCCAGCTTGTCTGTCAGCCCATCCATCCAAGTGCAGTATACTACCAGCATCTACTATATGTACCCGATTAGTGGTCGCCAGCTCTTGTCTGTCAAGCCGCATCCATCCAAGGTGCCAGTATACTACCATCACTACTAAACTATATGCTTACCTGATTAAAGCGTCACGCTATGTTGGTGAAAGCCTTGTAGGTACCTCAGATCCTCCACATGTGCCTGAGATTCCACCTTGCAGCCGACTGAGGAGATGGCGCGTGTTGGGACAGAAGCGCCATCTCCTTGTACCACGATTGCTTAACGTTGCCGTAGCGACAGCGGGTATTTGCGATGGAGAAACAAAGGAGCACACGTCTGAGCTGCAACAGAAGACAACGATCTCGGTTGTATACGGCTCGCGTGAGATCGACCGTGCCTCAGCTAGGCAACAGGACGTCTACCTCAAACCTAAAATCACGTTAACGAACAGAATGCAAAATTAAGTTACTCACAAAATGCATCTGTGACATGTGCTGTAATTTTACTATAAAAAATGACTTAAAGTGACTACGTCACGAATTTTCTATGGTAAGGGAATTTTTTTACATTAAAAGTAAGAACTAACGGGACTAAACGTATCGTCAAATTCTTACCTGATAAGATTGTTTCTAAACTAGTTAAAAATCCAAAAAACCTGAACGATTTGATATTAGCGTTCCTAACATTAATTGCTTGCTAGGTGCTATGTATGAGTCACGAGTGTAGGTTCACATCGAACAATATAGTAAAATAAGAAGTAAAATGCAGCAATTTAACCATAAAAAGTAAACAGAATTACTTATATTTTGTGAAAAAGTGGGAATATATCTATATTTTTTTTACAATTTACGGTGATGTAATCACTTTAACGAATGGCATCAGCAATTCAATAAATTCAGTAATTCGGTAAAAGAAGTGCTTACTTTCCATAAGCAAAACGACGATCTTTGTCATGATCACCAAATGTATCCCAAAGTCTGAGTGAACAAGAAATACCATCTACTGTCTGGAATGATCTTTCCAATACCTAAAACAAATATGTGACAGAAGTATAGAATCACTAAATCTATCCCAGTCTCTAACTGAACAAGAAATACTATACTATCGATGTCCTCCCAGTACATGAAACAATGGTACCAATAGAAAACAAGAGCAATCGGAGATAGCAAACCTCCGCCACAGCTTAACAGTCCCCCCCACCCCGTCTTGCTAGTACACCCAATAGATTTAGATAGTTTAATGAAATTTTCAACAATTTGAAAAAAAGTTTTTTTATGAATTTTTAATGCGTCCGAAGTCTTCCCCACAAAAAAATAAAGAAAGAAAAAATAAATAAATAAAAAAAGATCCTGGATCCAGATCTGGATCCGGATCACCACCAAAATCTAATCGATTGGTTGTTGGCCAAAGACCAACCCGTCCAAAAAATGTCATCAAAATCCGTCAGTAACTTTTTGAGATATCCTGTTGACAGACAAACAAACAAACCAACAAACAAACTAACACGGGCGAAAACATAACCTCCTTGGCGGAGGTAATGATATGAATCTGTGTACCATACCTGTCTTTGTATGCGGTACTGATCGATGGCCCAGACTGTTGGTACATGCGGCACTATGAGCTGTTCTAGTGTCACCCGCGTGTCACAGGCCCTTGCGCAGATAAGGCGCGTTTTACCTGCACGTAAAACATCACTGGTCACATGCTAAGGTCAAAACCGTACACATTTACTGATGTTAATTGCATTAAATGTGTGCTTGAACATGTAGACTTTATTATATATTATATTGTATTTTTTTTCATTGGCCGGCACACTCTGTGGACGACTAGTTTGACTGAGTCAGTCAGTGCCTTTGTGTGACTTTTGTTCTATGTGTATTTTAAGAGCAACTACTCTTATACACATGACGCCAATCAATTTGGTGCACAGTGACACAGGGCATATTGCCCTTTGATCATTGCTATTCACTTCTTGCAACCAAGAAGCATAATGTGGATCATCCATACAGGACTTTCAAAATTGACATATGACTCATGTCTCATTCAGACTGCTATTTGATGAAGGCAGAGCTTTCAGAGTGATAGCGAACCATCTTTAAACTGCTGGCACATACTCAAGTCACTGATGTAATGTTTTACCTTGAATGTAATGTAAGGTATTCAAACATTCCTCATGGCATATTTAATGAAGGTCATTACCATATCAGGAGTGCATAATATTAATAACAGAGTGCTATATATCAGACTGTTAAGAACAGCTTGTTCTGTTGTTATGTCCTACTTCCGGTCATATGTTATAAGCAACAGAGTTACTGCTATAGCATGGTCGCTACATAATAGGTCCAGTTTGAAATCTTCATGGGACAGCAAAGCCAGTGATTGTAAATGTAACTGACCACCAGGCTGTGCCAGTCTTCGCCACATTCTAATAAATGTGCCAAGGTATCCGCACTTGTTACGCGTTCAGTACGGCTCCCGCACGAAACAACGCCCGCTAAACCCCCTGGGGGGGGACCGCCACCCGCGAGTACCTACCCACAGCAGTACCTCCCACGACAACAACACCCTAACCCTGACCCCCCAAATACCTACCCACAGCAGTACCTCCCACGACAACAACACCCTAACCCTGACCCTGACCCCCCAAATACCTACCCACAGCAGTATCTCCCACGACAACAACACCCTAACCCTGACCCTGACCCCCCCAAATACCTACCCACAGCAGTACCTCCCATGACAACAACACCCTGACCCTGACCCCCCCCCCATTACATACCCACAGCAGTATCTCCCACGACGACACACTTAACCAGCTCATGGTGAGCCTCTTCATAGTCCATCGTACACCAGGATACATTCCTGCAAGACAAACCGGTGGCAGTTAGCAGCTCGTGGTTAATATCCCCACGGTGAGTAGAGAAGTCACTAAACCGAATACAGATGGCCATCGGTCTGGTCTTTCGGCAGTTCATTACCCCGCTTGCTGTACTTCTTAGAGAAATCTATCACAGATAAACATGTTGTGTTGGCCGATGGCTCGCTAGGTATGTGCACCACAGTAAAGTTCGACAGCAGTGTTTGTAAACTGTGGATGCATAGTACTTTCTGTGTAGTATGGGGGGAGGGGTTGTAACATTACTGAGTGGTATTATTTAGCCAAAATATGGATCTGGTAGCCTGTGAATGCAGTCAGGATCAATAGCTTATACGTTAATGTCACATGGGAGAAGCACCTAATACTAAGACCCAAGCATTAGCTTATCATATTACTAGCAGAATTTACAGACACATAGTATCAGAAGTAGATAATAGGGAATCTATTATTCCCTATTATCTACTTCTGATAGTATGTAATGCACTCTCCTGCTATTGACCACAGGGAGAAAATTGACTGACAATCGTTAAAAATTAATAAGTATTATAATCTAAACATTATATTATTACTGTGAAGCTTGCATATATTTTCTTGGCTGAGAGTAAGTGTTCAGTAAATGGGAAGTATAAGCCTAACATCATATGGCATTTACAGGTGCTGCGAGTATATGTAATTTCCAGTTGAGCACACCTGTAAAATTATTTATTTGCGTGTGCGGAGGAGGCAAAGCATTGTTAAAACTATAGCAACAATATGTGCTGTAAGCCCTATTGCAGGTGACTACGGTACCACCCCCCCCCCCCCGGAGGTGACTACGTAACAACCATGGAAACATGGATGTTTGTAGTTGTTGTATAGTGAGGGCTCTATATAATTACCACTGATACCTATATCTATATGCAGTGCCAATGAGTGCAAAGCCGTGAGCTGATATTGATCATCATAGGGGTCCGTCCACTGGTTTTGTGTGGTTGTTATATAGTGACCTCCGTTAGGTAAAACAGCCCACCCAATCCCTGTCAATCATCAGTCACAGGTGCCAGCAGGATTCTCCCCAGGATAAAATTGAAACAGGGGGGAGGGGGAGAAGGGGGAAGGGAAACTAGGGGGTCCGGGGGGCGTGTTTTTTACCGTACCACTAATGCGTAAAATCGCCACCACACCATAGACGGTATTTGTTACTATAACACTTGTATATAAGATAGCCGAGTCGTTGGGGGGTCTTGGACTGGACTGGTCGAATGGGAATTCTTGACGATCGATTCCCGCGCTGTCAAACTTTTATTGTGGTGGAATTTAATCGGGGCCGAGGTAATTTTAATGTGGCACAACGATTGAAACGGGGGGGGGGGGAGTTTTCCCAAACGGAGCAGGCGCGCCCGGTTTGCGCAACGTAGGGAAGGGCCTGAGTGGGTGGGGGGTTCAATGCCAAACTGAGAGTACTACTGTACTAGAGAGCTTATGCTGATCTTGTCCCTTTACGTATTGTTTACGCATATTTTGCCCTTCCACCATTACCAAGTTCACCAACCTTTTTGATGACAACTGATAATTCTTTCCCCCGGTTAACCACAGCAGTTCCTATGCATCGAGATAGGCAGATAGCTATATTTGTGCTCGCCATAGAATAAATAACAGTAATCGCACTGAAACTAAGTCTCGTAGGACAGTGATGTGACAAGCCCATCAGGATGAAAATGTTAAAGCATCACTCTAACATGAATGCTACAAATACACCCAGGTGAGGCGACACAAGCTTGTAACTGTGTGCACGCACCCACAGTTAACATTTCTCCACCGAGCTCATTATTACAGGTTATTAAACCTTAACTCCACTCATTACAGGGAGCATAAATTAATTGAAGCAGAGCGAGTAAACATCGTATATGATTAGGTGGCTTCAACGATACAGCAAGCGATTCTGTCAAATCACTGCAAAGACGATTAATCATTTTCAGCCAAACCGACCGATGGAAGCCATTCTCTCTCGATCAATCATAGTAATTTTGAGCAATTTCGACACAGTACTCACATCCTCTAAAGGAATAAAGTGCCAAATATGTTCCAACTTCACTTTAATGATTACCACACAACTGACGCCAACACAGGCTCTTCTCTGACCAGATTGTTTGTAATCATAAATGTTTGCTCTCAATACCTGCAATTACATTATTAGTATGCCGACTGGAATCACTACGTAGAACCAATTTCTACCTCGGACTGTCTGATATATCGAAACACGGCAATACGCCGATATGAGCATTGTGTGGCTTACTAAGAAGCTGCGTAATCGATAAACTATTACGTAAGTATGTCACATTGAATGGCTGTAGACACTCTGATCCACACACACAACCTCGGCCGCTAACATGTACGAGCACCACAGAATGCATTGTCCAGTCCTGCTTGCCACCTGCCCCTGACAGCTACACTCAGTGGCTGCACTTGAACCGAATCACGCGTGCACTTCGCACAAATAATCGAGAAAATCTTTTATTATGAAGGCGCCCTCTAATGGTGCCGTTACTATTGTGCTAGCTCGATATTTGTGCACACGCATTACAACCCAGTATTATCACATTAAGGTTGTTATCTGCCATGAACCTGATGACAATGGGCCGGCTACGGGGATGGCTACTCTGTTACAATAAGTGCAACTACTCATGCATGACTGTTCGAAAAACGGGACGAGTTTATTATATAATAAGATCCTCCACACGAGTTTATTATATAATAAGACCCTCCACACGAGTTTCCTAGAATACATTTTGATATTTATAGCTAAGCAGTGTCAGTCGCCTTACTTTACAAATAGCAATGAATGAAGCAAAAGAGAGTAAAACACACCTTTATTCCAAAAAACGTCAGCAAGATCATCCAGAAAGATCTGTCCCCTTGATTTCCACCCTGGTGCTTATTTTCTTGCTAAATGACAAATATCTGAAAGCAAATTAATGAAACATATATTGATCTCCTCATAACTACCAAGACTCGGAATTACCATTTCCTAAGGAAAATGTGATGAACTACCATGCCTCGATTAAACAACATTCTGCAATACACATCAACACAGACAAGACAAGCAGTCACAATTGGGTTTTCAAGTCACACTTTCAAACTAATTCCTGTGGAAGCCAACTTTGAAATGGAATGAAAGGCAAGCCCCACTGATTAAAGTAAAAGAAACATCAAAGTGCATTTCCTTGGGTTCAATTCCATCAAGATAAGCACTAAGACTGAATACACATCACTTCAGCTTAAAAAAACATCAGGCATATATATATATATGTTTACATTGTAATTTGTATATTTTAGTACAAATAATAACATGAAGTACACATACAGACAGATAAGTTAAACTCTGGTATCATTACAAAGGGATAGTGATTCGTTGAGGAGAATCGATTTCAATTGAATTCACTGCTATCACTCTGCCTAGATAGCAGACACACTTTGCACAAAACTGGGGTGGTACGTGCCCCCACCACCCTCTTTTTGGAGTGTCCTCGATAACAGCTTGAACCTTTCTCTCCTGCCAAACGACGAGCAACAATCAGGTATAGCTAACGAGATAACGACGCAGGTACGGTGTTGCCGTGAACATGTGGTCTAGCCTAGCTATTGATCCCCTCGGCCGTTGCCCGCCGCTCCATCGATTCGCTCATCTGAAGACGCAGGTAGGTATAGGCGACTCTGTAACGGTACGCAGCTTACGCGCCTCGGCTGTTGCCAAGGGACCCGCTGCAGCCTGTTCATGCACCCACGGACACATGTCAATTTTCCTGTACACATCTTATCATATCGGCTTAATCCTCATGTAATATGTTTAACTGGCACTCTGCCACGTCGGCCTACATACGACGGCACTGAACCTGTACGATGTCCATCAGGAAGATGGCACATACTACCTACGATGTACAGCTTCGGTTTAGCATCTTTCATGCGAGGTGACAAATTCTTGCTAGTCATCACAAAATGTGTCACAAATGAATGATGCTATCACAAAAAAACTTACTATAACACAGGTACATCAAATATATATATATGTGTTCACCGAAGCACATGGCTAGTCCTCCATGTTGCTTGTTCTTATATTAACTGTAAACTCTAATTTCTAGCATACATAGTGAACAGTACTTTTGAAACAAATACACAAATATACAATAAACAGGAACTCACAGAAAGGTTTGATCTACGTTACACATTTTCAAGCTATCCATCTGGAAAAAAATACTGCAAAAATAATCGTTTTAGTTAGGCTTAACTTAAAGTTGACTTCTCTATTTGTTCAAATCACACTTTACAACCAGAAAAAATTAACCTGTCTAATTTCAGTTCACTAAACAAAAGTATACGACTCAGTGACTTAACATTGTTTGCTTACAAACTGCAGCTTTTTAAATTTCAATGAAGCTATACTCTCGTATTAGATCTCTACCAAGTACAAACCGTATAATTTTATTTTTATTTAACTACAATCAACGCATTTTGTTGTCATGGAATAACGCAATATTACCACTTCTCAAGTTCTGTGTCATTCACTCCACAAGAATTTAGTAGCAAACGTATTTGCGTGTTTTTTCAGAGCTATACATTCTAAATACATCGACTGAATAGCACGTAGTTCTACACAAAATGTGTAAATTGCACCAGTCACACATACACGACGCACGGCACGCGCACTGAAAAATTAGCAATTTTGGCCAGTGCGTTGTCTTTCGCTGCGTGTGCGTCAGCATTCGTTACTCGCTCGTCGAGCGCGCTGGACCAGCGCTATGCATTCGTTGGCATTCGCTGTGCGCGGAGCCCGGCGCATGAATGTACACACCAGAAGGACGCCAGACACGCGCAGAGCGCGCTGGACCAACGCCAGACACACGCGGTGTACACGCTGGGTATTCGTTGTATGTTCGTCAGCTGAGGTGTAGCGAACACCTAGCGCACACCTAGCGCACACCTAGCGTGCTTCTAACGCATGTCCAGCGAACATGCAGCGAATATGGGCGTGCTGAACGAGTCTGTAGCGCGGCCAACGTTCTTCTGGCGTGTTCCTATCGTGTACGCAGCGTGTAGCCATGGGGTATATAAACGGGCCCCGCCCCCACCTCCTCATCATCACTTTTCCTCCGACCCTCATGGGTGATGACTGAGGTTCCTGCTGATCGTGTCTAGAAGAACCACCTCAGAAGATGGAGGATCACGACAGGCTGCGACTACAATACGAAATCGCGGTTCTCCAACATCAGCAGAACCTCATGGAACTGGCTCTTCACCAAGTCCATGTCATCAGGAGAAAGAGAAAGGGAAGAGGTCAACGGAGGTTCTGGGTCCGACCGTGGATCGGTAGGCGACGACAGTTTGGCCTGTATGACCAGCTACTTGTTGAACTCCGTAACAAAGACCAGGCAGCCTTCAAGAACTTCATGCGGATGCCCCCCCAAGATGTTCGACGAGCTGCTAACCAGAGTGGGTCCGAGGATCACCAAGCAGAATACAACCTACAGAGAGGCCCTCGACCCTGGCCTGAAGCTTGCCCTCACTCTGCGGCATCTTGCCTCTGGGACCAAGTATCACTCAATGTCCTATGGGTGGGTGGAGGGTGCCTCACAACACCATATCCCTGCTCATCCCAGAAGTCTGCCAGGCCATCATCGATGAGTACAAGGATGAGGTGATAAAGTGTCCCACCACTCCTGAGGAATGGCATGCCATATCTGACAAGTTGATGGAGAGGTAGAACTTCCCCCATACCTGTGGTGCACTTGATGGCAAGCACGTCAACTGCAAGTGTCCTCCAAACAGTGGTTCCCTATACTACAACTACAAAGGGTTCTACTCCGTTGTCCTCATGGCGCTCGTGGATGCTGATTACAAGTTCATCTGGGCAGACATCGGCGGTATGGGATCAGCATCAGACGCTCAGATCTACAATGCCTCTGAGCTGAATAAATGCATTGAAGATGGTAGTCTAGGCTTCCCTGATTCCGATCTTCTTCCCAACGACAACCAGGATGTGCCCAACTTCTTCGTCGGCGACGATGCCTTCACTCTACGACCCAACATGATGAAGCCGTACAGCCTCCGGGGTATGACGCGGCCGGAGCGCATCTTGAACTACCGGCTTTCCCGAGCCAGGAGGGTCGTAGAAAATGCCTTCGGCATCCTGGCCAACCGTTTCCAAGTTCTCCTGAGCACGATCAGCAGCTAGCCGAAACAGTGCTGTTCATTCGTTGGATTTTTTAACATGTGCGCCCTGCATACGCGCAGCGCGCTAGCAACACGCTGTGCATTCGTTGTCAACTCGCTAGCTTCTCCCAAATCCTGACAAAAGTTGGGCGCACAACGACGCACTGACCTTATTTTCCATTTTTCCAATGCGCGGGCCGTGCGTCGCGTATGTGTGACTGGGCCATAATGCTTGAAATTACAACCATACACCTGCAAAACCATATAAGATCATACTATAAATAGTTAAGTGGATTTCTAAAACTGTTCCATTATATGCTAGAAACATGTCTTTCCACCCAGAGGAGATTGCACACACATAGGAATAAGTGATAATTAAGTGATTCTGAATAATGCTTCCCCTCCTTCTATCCACTGCCTACCATTCGTGGTATTACAACATGTACAAGTCATTAATCACACATTTCCTGCTGCTAATACGTATGAAGTTTACGTTACAGACTTCTAACAGTTGTTCTTTTTCGCCCCCCCCCCAAGCATCTCTGCACTCATCCCCTACGTCAACCCTACGTCAAAAAATGGGCCTGAGTGAGGCAAGCTGCGGCTGCATTGTTGATAACTCAGAGATTACAGTTACAGACTAGAGTGAATCCTCAAGTCCCTGAGGATCAACGTTGTTAGGGACTTGTGGGCCTATAGCCACTAGCACTTGTGGGCCCATAGCCACTAGGACTTGTGGGCCTATAGCCACTAGGACTTGTGGGCCCATAGCCACTAGGACTTGTGGGCCTATAGCCACTAGGACTTGTGGGCCCATCAACCACAAGCACTCGTGGGTCAAGCCACTGAGCACTGTGGCCTCGTCAATGCTAAAGACTTGTGGGTCCAAACACACACCTGTGCTTGTATAATCAGTCTAGTTAAAAACAACAAATTTCACAAAATCATACAGGTAGAGCTATGAAACCAGCTCTCACCTGCAGGGATAGTGCATCACCATAGTATATGATTCAGTTATGTATACGTCTTTGGAGTGGGGGAGCAGCAAACTTTCAAGCGTATAAAGTTATAAACTCATTTTTTCTTTACGTTAGTACAAGTATGCAAACATTCAAAATTCTGCAAAAATATCACGTTTTCCCCAAAGTAAGAAACACAGGTAAATCAGATGGAATCAGCAAAAGCAGGAGCAATCTGATAAAATAAAAGCAATTTGCAGTGTTTCCCCTGGCAAAAAAAGGTCTGTGAGGTGGTAATTTGTTTTTGGTGTGTTTGCGCATTTCGAGATCCTAGCAAAGCGAGCACAGCAGGTGCACAGGTGGCAGAAAATTTTGAACACATGGTGCAATTTGGTGCATTCTAAACTATTATTTCGATTTTAGTTCAATATAGTGTAGTTTATTGATGGAAGAACAGTGATTTTCGTCAGAAAGGCGGTATTTTGGACAAATTTCTGTGTGGCGGCTGAGAATTTGAGAGGCGGCCCGCCTCACTCCTGTCAATGCAGGGGAAACACTGCATTTGCACATGCTTCTGCTTCCTCTATGAACCTTCAGAATCGATGCATCAATAACGCTTCGTCGAACCTCCAAAGCAGCTTCAGTCAATCTATTACAATTAAGCTAATGACACAATCAATTCCTACACAAACGCCTTGACGTTCTAGTAAAGTAATTAATTGGAATGTAATATCGCAGAAGCTTCGGATTGAATAAAATAAAATAATAGCAGCTTAGTGCATGTCTGCTCCTGTATCAATGATATGATCACTGGTATGTGTATATGATCACTGGTATAATGTACCATGATCATGTATGATGTATACATGATAATAAATGCATACTATAAGTGGCACTGTGATATTTATTAATTACATAAAACAAGTGCCGCGGAGCAACAGCGCTCATCTCACGTCTACTGCGGTGACTCTGTGGTGGAGTGGTGGGATTCTAGTAAACCCTGTTAGTCCCAAATGTGTTCACATACGCGCCGAAACAGTGGAAGGCACAGGGATGGTATCAGGAACCTTCTCGAAGGAATGTTTGTTGGGATCGTTATGAAAGTTGCCACGAGATGGCACGTACGTTTAAGTGTCTTAAAACGATCATTGCGAGAATTTTGCTCAGAAAAACTAAATATAGCTGAATCACCTGACAGCGAAAATATCACTGATTACACCAACATTCAAAACACCAATATTTTATGCAGTTATAGCATAGAAAAATTGATTTGACCACATCATACCAGCAATACATTTTTTCGAGTCAAGACTTTCAAAAATCACAAATGGCGTCTCAAACAAGCAAACATAATTAAAACAAAGGGGCATCTATTTGTGTGTGATAAGTATTCTCGCTGGCGGTACGCAACGAGGATTTGATCCACTTCTCTCTCCGTCTTCGTTATAGTCCCTATACTACTAGGACTATAATAGTACTAGGACTATAGTACTAGGACTTTTGAAGACTAATATTTATGAGGTTACAACTTACACTCTTGTTTGTGTTACGCTACTATGCACCTCTGTGTTTACATCTGACCAAAAATATCTCCGGTGCGATTTTTGCATTACTGTACCCTTGACGTCTCGCGGTACCGCGAGAAAGTGCGAGACATGACAGCGAAAATCAACAAGAGAACGCAAAATTGTAATCGTGCATGATTTTGTCTTTGCATGCGGTTCTAAGACATTTTATTGGTATTTCAAACAATTACTGTTACTCAAGCAACAACGGTAGGCATCATGAGAGTGAGAATAAACACTAAAAAACGCTGAAAACAACTCGCAATGATCGCTTTAAGATTAAAAATGGAAGCTCCCATCCTACGTAGTAGCAACAACTATTTGCAATACAGAATAGGTAAGCACTCATCCATTTATCTACGCAAGCCTACAGGCTGAAATAGAGAGCTGCCACCTGTAACTAATTAGCGCAGGCAAAAACTACACAGTACTATCACCACCACATGCACTGGCAGTGGCTACTGGCAGTAGCATAAGTTACATGTAACACACTAACAGTACAGAATGCCATAGAAATTATACGATTTAAGGAGCATAAACCCTCTTCAACCAAATTTAGCTTTTGCAATTTCACTGTGACATTGTAGCCTCATATTTCCAGGCATGTATAGATTCTACTAGCAAACCCGGCAGTCAAATTCTTTCTATACAGTGAAACAATCCATGTTTAACACCTCCTGCTGAGGGTCAAAAGGTATGCCGACACTACTCTTCGCAATGTCAGCAGGAAAGTACATTTCATGGTCCTCTTGCAATAAAGCCATAAAAATGGTAGTCACTGCTGAACACAACAAGTTTTTCAATTATGCTTCCCCGTCAAAACCAATACGTCTTCAGAAAATGTCATAAAATCTGCCCTGTGCGCCCCAATTGACCTTTGACCTTGTGACCGTTCCAAATTTCGGCAGCAGGTGATGGCTATTCTTTACCATGAATCTATATACACCCGACTATCACGAGCCTAGATCGAGCCGTTTAGATTTATGCCCGCAATTCCTGCATTTCCTCGCCCATATAACCTTTTAAGTTAAGAGGGAATGTTCACCTTCTTTTACACTCTTGACCTTTGACAACGACCTTTGAACCCCCAGCTGTCGACATCGCAACTCGTTTTCGATTACCCCTCACGTCCCGACTTATGAATCCGTAACGTTCGAGCGCCGTTTAAGATTTGTGCCCAACTGCTGACCAGGACGCACGCACGCACGCTCATGCGATTCTACAAGCCGCATCTGACTATGTCAGATGAGCTAAAAATAACGATTCATACTTTTAAAAATATACATATTAAATTCAAATATAAAAACTACTAGATACTTATGAAACTACCTAAATATAATCAAGAGCTCATACTAGAGATCTCTATTATGAGCAGCAGCTCTTGATATAATGTAGGCCCTATCTAATAAAAGACGCATTGGGCTGTATACTGAGTATCTTGTGGAAATTATGTTCATGTTAAACCTAACCAATTCATAGCAAAGATCTGACCAACCTCTACGACATGCATCACCACAATGTCTGCAGACTTTAGATATAACGCCCATACAGTAGACAATTTACATGCTCTGATTACTGCTGAGCCTTCAAGCTTTCAATGAAATTAGCTTCCCTAACACGCAAGCGCATGAATGCTGGTGTGATAGCACTTATAACATTAGCAGATACTGTGAGCTTCTCAGATTCCTTTATTATACATGTCCAAAGATCAAAGTACAGCTTACATGACTCTGCAAATGCACTTACACTACTTAAACTCATATATACGTGTGTCCCTAAAGAATCCCGAAACGAATTTGCCACTTCTACATCCACCTACTAAGCGATGTTCATGACTTTTGCATTGCACAAAGCATTACAGAAATGCTTTAACATCCATCTTCTCTAAATGTAGTTGCATAAATTTGATAAAACAGAACCCTAACCTCGTATAACAAGCCATAAATCCCCGTAGGTTGTCAGGTATTACTAGATCAAACCCTACGTGCAAAATAAAAATTTTATAATCAATAATCAAATGAAAAAATCGCAGCAACCCCCTTCCACATGAATGCCTCTGTTCATGAACTCATCCGTATATAAACCAAAAACCAGTGCAACTATAAGCCAATTACACTAGAACCTATTATCTTTTAGTTAGGAGCAATTGTCACTTGGCAACTAAACTATCTTCAGATAGCAAATAATTATAGGCGATTATAATATGTGTCGAACTGTAACGAGTGAATGATTCATGTTTTCCATCTATTGCACTGAAATGCTTAGGGCAGCACGGGGCAAACATTGCTTCTAAGAAATGTAAAATATCTGATATATTGCTCGGTGTACGTCTTAAAATTACTAACGTTGTTCATAATTACAGTTAAATGACAGAAAACATTTATGGATTCTTCAGAATGTGTTCAACAACTGGAACACTGACTCAATAACTGCTTGACAATTAACAGAGACATTAATTCTATGTAGACCAATCATGATGAATGTCAAAGGAGATCAGA